CTCCGAGTCACCACGAAGGAAAGCATTCTTTACATCCAGCTGATGTAAGGCCAATTCAAATTGGCTGCCAAAGAAAGAAGAACATGTATAGAGTTCATCTTTGCCACTGGAGCAAATGTGTAATCAATTCCATAGGTCTGAGTGAAGCCCTTTGCAACTAACCGAGCTTTATATCTCTCAATTGTTCCGTCTACTTGATACTTTATTGTGTAAACCCATTTGCAACCTACTGGTTTCTTACCCCTAGGTAATGGAACAATATCCCAAGTACCATTCTTCTCAAGGGCCTTCATTTCTTCAAGCATAGCTTTCTTACATGGAGTTTGACTGAGAGCATCTAAAACACTAAAAGGAACAGATACAGAGGAGATACACGAAGTGAAAGCATGATATGTTGGAGATAAGGCATCATAGGATACAAATTGAGATATAAGATGCTTTGTACCACTACGAACACCCTTACGATAGGCAATAGGGATATCAAGATCAACATGAATGCTATTGGGAAAAGAATCAGGAGTATCAATGTCAACTAAGAATTACCTGGATCGAAGGAGGCTTTTTTGTCCTGAGGTGAGTCAATAACTTGTTTTGCCCTCCTAGTGTAGACAATTGGTTGCTTTCCCTGCTACAAATTATTAGTGTTGGGAGGACTAGACAAAAGCACCTCAGAAAGAAGCTCCCCTTGAATGGGAACAGGCAAAGGAAGGGGGCATTCCCTCTAAATGGACAACGAATTCTCTACCTGTATTGTAGTCTCCCCCTGTTGAGAACCCGAGCAGTGGAAAAAAAAAGAAGAACAAATTGAACGAATGTAACATCCATGGAGACAAAGCGACGACAAGTGGTAGGGTTATAACACCGATACCCTTTCTAAGTGGCGAAGTATCCAAGAAAGACATATCGGATTGCCTTAGGGTCCATTTTGTCCTTGTGATGATGAGTGTGAACATAACAAATACAACTAAACACTTTCGAAGGGACAGTAAGCAAGGCAGTGTCATGGTGCAAGACAAAAAAACAGAGGATAAGGTAAGATTAGGAGAGGCAGAAACAGTGCCCTTCCCCGCAATGGAGGTGAAGGTGCCATCAGCCACTTTAACCTTATCCTTACCAGAATATAAACTGTACGAAGAAAAATCAGATGCCATACCAGTCAATGATCCAAGGTGGCCCACTAGATAATGTGGAAACCTAATGTGCCGAATGAGAGGTACTTGTCTGAGCGAAGTTAGAGGTGGAAATGGAGGAATCATGTGCTAATAGATGTCAGAAAGCATCAAGTTCAGCCCCAGACAAAGAACTCGATGGCCCTGAAGAGGCATGACCAGAAGAGGCATGACCAGTAGAAGCAGTCTCACGCTCTACAGTATGTGCTATAGATAACCCCCCTAAATGGACCAGGCCGAGCATTTGCATTAGTAGGAGCTGGAATAGGGTGACCGTATAGATTCCAGCATGGCGTGCACACCCATAGTGATCACACCTCAACTTGCTCTTGTCATCCTGTTTCACTCCTTTTGGAGGATTAGGCTTGTTCCATTGTTGTGTGGCGAGAGCAGACCTCTCAGACAATGGTACTTCTGGCTTAGGTTTAGTGTATAAAGTGCATACATAGCCTTCATTCTACTCTCCTCAGCCTGGATATACGATAACACATCTCTAACAGAAGTAGGGGCCGGATACCTGCCTAACACTAGTACCTGGCATGCTCATATCTTGGATGCAGACCACCCAAGAACTCATAGATTCGATTCCTTTCTACCATATCATGAAATGCTTTAACATCAGTTGCACACACAAGTATGTAGTCTTGGTAGTGATCCAACTCTTCCCATTTACCACTTAGAGTGTGGTAATATGTAGCAAGAGTTTAGTCTTCCTGCTTGAATCTTGAAATTTGTTGTTGGAGTTCATACAGTTTTGCAAAATTACCGACCGAGGAATACGCCTCTTCCACAGCCGTCTATAGCTCTTTAGCTGTTTTCACAAACAAAAAGCCTTTGTTGATCTGTGTCTGCATTGACTGCAACAACCACGTCATAACTAGTGCATTACTTGCACTCCACTCTTTGAATTTAGGATTGCTTTTGGAGGGATACGTTGCAGTCCCTTCGATATGGTCGATCATCCTACGACCAGTGATATGCATACGAGCAGATTGAGCCCACTCCATATAGTTTGTCTCATCTAGCCTAATAACCGTAATACAAAGGCCTGGATGATGATCACTACTACCTCCCAATACTGAAGTCAGACTAGGAGAAGACTCAGCTTCTTTTGAAGTCACCTCTAAGCAAGACATTTTGTCAAACAGTTTCTCGGCATACAATCCTCAGAAACAAAAACAACAACAAAATACGTAGAGAACCACCTCTCTAACACACAAACTTCAACTAGAAAGATTACCGTCTTCTAAAAATTGAGATGCATAAAAAAGCAACCACACAAACCTTAGAAAACAATAAAGTAAACCATACCAGAATCATGAACGACGAAGAAAAAGCCACTGTTGCAGAACCCCGCGAACACTAAAAAACATCGATCGAGACTACAATAGATAAAAAAAAATAGGTCCAAAGAATTTTTAGTTGGATCCGCGGTACGTGTGGATGTGATTTAACACTACTACTTTGCAAACAAATATTATCTTGGAATCTCTTCAAAACCCTTCAAACCCACTAGGGTTTACACAAACTTGCCCTAGGGTTTCAACTACACACCTAGAGCTTTACAAATCATGCTCTGATACCATGTTGACTTTAAGATATAATCAAAGCAAGAGTAAGTGATAAAGAAGATGAAAAATAGAAGAAAGCAGATGAGAGAAAAAGAGAGAAAGAATGAAAGAGTACTTTCATCCTTCCTCTATTTATAATAACAAGTTTCAAATATTACACATAAGCCCCAACATTATATAAGTGATAACAAATAAGTCCTGATAACAGTATTATGTTAGGAAATTTCTTGTTAAGCAAGTCTTGGGCTCTAATAAATTATAATCCTTGTCCAACAAGGAATTAAGTTTGGAACTCTATAAATAGGTACCTAGGTTATGGGTTGAGGCTTACGAGATTGAGAGAGATGTAGTCTCATTAGGGAGTTGATGGGTGGAGGTAGTTTATGGGTTTGTAGAGTAGGAAAAACACTGGTGGAACTAATAGTGAGGGGACCGATTCACGGAGTGGTACATGGTGAAAAGGCATGTACATGGTGTTGATACTCTAGTATTGTAATATCTTTATGAATCATAGTGGAATCTCTTCTCATCCATGGATGTAAGCTTTGCCGAACCATGCTAAATCTTTGTATCATTTGTGTGTGGTGTGTTTGCTTTTCTGTTGTGTCTCGTGACTGTTGTTTATGTTCGTTGCATTTGTCGAATATGTATCAACCCATTATCTCTAATGTTCTACATACGCAACAACAACTTAAGGATTTAAATGTGGTTTGATTTCTTTCTAGATTTTTGTTGAAATATGAGCCCATTCGTGCACAAATTTTGGACAGTTCAAAGCTTCCATCTCTTATTGATGTGTTCTATCGGCTTCAGCAAGCTACACTGTCCAGTGGTATCCCTGATATGAATAGTGTTTAAAGTGGTGATCGATTAGCTTTAACAGTCTCACTCGTGGGCGGCGTTTCACACGTAGCGGCAGTGATTTACAGAGATGTTGTGGCGGTAAGAACCACAGAAGGTTGACCTTTTTGTTTTTTGGAAGGTCAAGTGATGTTGACCTTGCTAATATGTTGGTATAGTATAAATAGGAACTGTTTGAACCATGGCATCTCATCATCTAATGATGTGCCACCTTTGCAATTTAATACAATCCTATAGATAGAAGACAATGTCCTTGTATTGAAAATGCTTCAAATGAAGTTCTTTGTATCTATTGATGTGACCTTAGTGTGTACACAAAATAATGTACTTTTTGATAATTAAAATGTATGTCAAATGGGCATCAACTTTTACAATTTATAAAAGCCACTTAACACTTATACAATTTAAGTATAGCGAGAAAGGATTGTTCTCGAGGATTGAACACGTTTTAGAATCTAACTTGACTTAGTGCTAATGAGATTTAAAAGAGGCTTGATTTGGTGATTAATCTAGAATTTAATTTAAATCATGCAATGTAAATTAATGCTAAAATGAGTAGAGTTAGAAATGTGCCCAAAAATGATGCAATCCCATAGCCCCTTGGTAGTTGAAGTTTGGGCAAAAATCGAGTATCAAATCAGGCTGTCAGGGCAATTTGCAATAGATCGTACAGTGTTGCGATCGATCGCAACTCTGCTGCAATCGTTCGCACATAGTTGGCTTTATTCGAGCTTATCCGCTGACGTGGTTGCGAACGATGACGTGGCTTGCGAACGATGACGTGTACTTGCAAACGATGATGTGTACCCGTGATCGATCGCAAGCCCCTTTTTGTCAATTTTTCTGATTTTTTCCGATGCACTTGCTTGACTCCAAAAAGACTTTAATGAACTGATTTTAGCCCGTTTGAACCTTATTGACCTGAAATTGACAAAAACACAAATTAGGACTAAAACGGGAAAGTAAAGATAGATGAAAGGACTAAAATACCCGAGATTAGGGCTGAAATATGCATATTTCAGCACTTGATCATCTATTTTTATTTGCAACAATTAATTATCAAAATAAAAATAAAAAATTATTTGCAACAAGCTTTGTTTGCCTTTAGTTTCTCCAGTTTGCCATTTACTTTAGTGTCCATGTACCTTTGTGCAGAATATAATATTCTCTTCTTTCATGCCATATTTTTTCACCTTTTTTCCTTTTGTTATGTAGCTTGGTAGTTTGGCTACACTTCCTCCCCCCTCTTCTTTTCAGCCTTTCTTAGTTCCACTAACTAATTGTTCCTATACTTGATTTTTATGGTATGATCTTGAACAGCTATCATTTTGGGGGTGGGGGTGTTTGCGGGAAGATTGTCTTCTGTATATTAATTGTTGCATCTCTGTTTAATGTGCAGATTTTACAGTTGATTGCAATATCATTGAGGAGTCTTGGGCCAAGTGCAATGTTTTATCTTGCAGCTGCAGTGTCTGACTTTTATGTTCCATGGGAAAGTATGGTAAGGGTTAATTTGTTGTAAATATTTATCTTCAATTTTCCTTCCTTAATTCAGCCTCCATTTAGTAGATCTGGTAAATCCTCTGTGAGAACTCTTGCTGCTTGTGTTTGGAGCACGGATTTTATGCTTGTGTTGTGGTGTATGTTACTGTGATTTTTGGTTGTGATCATGTCATTGTGGAATGATATTTTGTTTCATGTCATATTCTGCATTACTTCTGAATTTTCCTACACTATAAGGATACATTACTCTTTCTAAATCATTATCATTTTCCTGGTTTTAGTATATGTAAAGCATCAACATATATGAAACTTAAGACTGCCTTTGGTGAAAAAGAGACTTTTATGTTGATCTGCACAAGGTCCGTGATCTAGACCTAGAGAGGATGAATAGGTCGTGTATGATGAATTACTGATTTTAGCAGCTTTTTGAATTTAAAATAACTTAATAGAAATTAAATCCAAAATAAAGCAGAACATAAAAATCATCAATCCACAATCATAATTAGCAGATAAAAGTAAAAACAATGGACACAAGATTTTATGTGGAAACCCCAAAGAAGAAAAACCACTGGATGCTCTCTACTTGAAAACTGATTTTCCGAACATCTAAGTCAATCAAAGCTGTTGTCGATTAATCAATGATACTCTAGAAGGTCTCGATCAATGCTTCGATTGATTGAAGTCTAGTGCAGTTTAATACTAAGAAAAAAATTCATTTGAGAAGTTCCTGAAACTCTTTCAATGCATAATTAGAAGAATTAGTGAATCAAATCAAATTAAAATCATGAAAATATGGAAACCCTAATTATGCATGCATGAACTCTAATTTGGTTAGTGCAATATTGGGTTAATTTATCGTTATAACCCTTGAAGACAGAGACTAGCGATTATCCTTGAGCGATTTTGTTTAAGTCACATTTAGGACTGACGGCGTATCTATTTGTCTAATATAGGCATTATTTCAGTGGCAATGGCCATAAAGCAGTCCAAATAGCCTGGAACCATTTTTCAGATATTGTTTTCTGTAGTACCAAATGTTGTTCAACAGAGTATATTTTTTTGTTTGGGGTTTTTTCATCCGTTACTCATCGTTGACAATCACTCCAAGGAAACATAAAATTGCTGTTATTGTTCTCTACTAGTCGGCTTTGTGACACAGATCCACACAATTACCTAGATTTTTTTTTTTTTTTTTTGATCAGTCACACAATTACCTGGATATTATTCTTAATGAAGCTGAAAAGTGTATTATGGTCACCTGAATTGATATATATATATCTCGTCTTCTGCTATTTTGCTTAATCTTGAAGTAAATGTCCAGGCAGAACATAAAATTCAGTCTGGATCTGGTCCTTTGGATATGCGACTTGTTCAAGTCCCAAAGATGCTTTCAGTGCTAAGGAAAGAGTGGGCTCCCACAGCCTTCTGCATATCATTCAAGGTTTGATATTTTATCACTATTAATTAGATGCTTTTAGGGTGAGTTGAGCATATCCACACCCGTAAATTTATAATGATAATATTTGCTGCATCTACAAGAACGACAGGTAAAAAAAGAGGGACAATTTTTAATGATTGTATTCGTCATACATCTAAAACAAAAAATTCCAATTTGTTTAAAAACCTAATGGATTTGGAACTTAACCTAAGACAATGAAGTGTTTTGGAATAGTTGTGGTTGTGTCGCTTGCTAGACGCGTGGGTTAATCCAAAGACATTTTGTGAACAGAAAGTTTCTTCTAAGGTTCCAATTTTCTTTTTCTTGATTGCACAAACCTTGAAAGAGTGGAGTGATGATAGTGCATCTGTGTGCTCCTCCCTTTGGTGATGCAATAACTTATAATCTTCAGAAAGCACCATCTAAATATTCAACTGAACTTGACATTTTGGTCCAAGATGTATCATTCATGTATATAGCATCTTCTAAGGAAAGTTTACTCATAACATGATTTATGTTGTTAAATATATAAATGCATTCTGGAGCCTAGAGATAATAGAATTCATTAGCCTGACACATTCTTTTTTGTGTGATTTCTTATCAATAGCTAGAGACGGATTCAAAGATTCTTTTAGAGAAGGCTGGTATGGCCCTTAAAAAGTATGGGATGCATGCAGTAGTAGCAAACGAGCTTTTGACCCGTAAAGAGGAGGTTGTAGTTGTCACAAGTAGTGGAATGATTTCAGTTCACCGAGACAATACTCAATCCGGTGCTGATGTGGAGAGACCATTGATCGAACTCCTTGTGGAGAGACATTCAGCTTATATCGAGGCTTCAACTATATGATATCTTAGCATATTGCATCTGATAGGTGATGGACACGACAGAAAATTTTCAAATAAAGCTTCTTGTTCTCATATAGAAGTTATTGTTTGGTGCAATCGTCTACAAAGTGTAAGGATTCGGGTTCAAGTTGGAGACTTATCAATCTCTGCTAAAATAATTTCACCCTTCATCATTGATTAATCATAATAAAGATTACAGGGTTATTAATCTCTCAAATGCTATCTGCAGAAGGCACGTTCGATTGAAAATTTATCTCGTCCTTTCTGGTTTGATTTATGACAAAATGAGAGAGCCTTTTTCGTTTAATGAGATTTATTGAACCTGTTAATTTAAGTCTTTGTTACTCTGCTGAAAAATTGAATGCGGGCCACTGAATTATTATGTTGAAATAAATTACTGTATGTTACGTTGCTGTTGTGCTATATAAGGTCATATTTTGTTATGTTTATGTTTGTTTGTTAGGCTTTGGCCTTCTGTTTGATTTTTGTGTATTTGCTTCTTGTGGTTGCTGTTTCTCTGGGTTTCTGGATAAGGATCACCTCCAGTAATTTATTTTCTCCATTTTTGTAAGTAAAAGTACATCCTAACATTTTCATAAGGTGCATCTTAACATTTTCTTGTTATGCATCTAATATTTTTTTACTATGCATTCCAAACATGGGTGACGTGGCCATTTCTGGATCATTTATTTTAAAATGGAGTAAATGGCACCCTATTTCACTAGAGGTGATTTTCACCCGAGCTGTGTCTCTTTGATTTTAGGTGTCTTTGATTTTAGGTGTCTTTTCCCTCTAGCTCTGTATCATTTTTTTTTTTCTCAATGTTTAATGAAATTTTTTCAAAAATATTAAGAAAAATTACCATTTTATTGTTTAAATAGCATGAAAATTATCATAAAATAAATAAATAAATAAATAAATTTACCATTTTATGATTTGAATAACTTGTCACAGTTTTATATGGTGTGTACTTTATTATTACTTATCAAAAAAAATTAAAAAATATGGTGTGTACTTTATTACACACTAGTGTCAGCATAAATAGAAGAATGATACTACTATTTACACCGATCATTCTCTCTATCAATAATAATGTATAGTGAAATACTTGCAACATCTGAATATTTACAATAAAATAGTTTAGTCATGTCATTTTCAATAACTTCGTTAAGAGATCTCAAGCCTCAAATTCCAAAAGCAAAATACATTGAATTTGGAGATCTTCATTAATCTTTGAGCGAAACTTCCAAAATCCAGTAAAACATCAATTACAAGTTTTGTTTTATTATTTTTTCGTTTTTTTCTACAAAAAGAAGAAATGCCCAAGGGACACAACTTGTAAACAAATAATAAATTAGTGTCGAAATCTTGACTCAGGGTTCGAGAGTTAAGACCTAAAGCCACCGGAACAAAGATAAATTAGTAATACACTAGGCTTTTCACTTGTTGCTTGCAGATGATGGCAACTTCCTCAAAACCACCATTAAGTAATTGAAGGTAGTGAAGAAGATCTCATGTTGATGCTAGCGGTGCGTGGCAAAGGGCTTCGAGCCATCACAGTATCTGTTATAGCAGTTTTGCCCTGTTTTCTTTGTTGGTTTTGCTCCTGTCATGCATTCCAATTTAATAAATCAATATGAATTTAGTGTTCATTTGATATGGATTATTATGAGAAATGAGAACTATTTGATTAGATGGAAATTGCAAGAAAAGAAAGAAAATGATTTTATGTTATTTTTTTGAACATTTTAAAAGTTTGGTTAGCTGAAAAAAGAAATATTTTTTAAAAAAATTACTTTCCATAACTACTTAACTTTCCATAAAATTTCCTACAAGAAAAAAACACAGGAAATATTTGATTTTGTTGAAAAAGTTATATTAATTTACAATAATGTCCTTTTTTTTTTTTTTGCTTTTTTCCTTTTTTTTTTTTTTTTTTTATCCTGAATTCTTTTATGATTTAATTAGTATGAAACAGATGAACCGTCCCATTCTCTAAGAGAATCGACCAATTCAAGGCCGCCGTAATGGCCATTACAATTAGAGTATCGCCCGATTGCTTAAGAACCGGTCAATGAGTCTTGGTATCAAGTAGGTGAACAATAGTTTTGAATTGGCCGGTTCACTTAACCATGTTCCAAGCCCATTTTTTTGGAAAGTGTTTTATTCATTTAAAAATTGGGAGGTAGAGAGGGAATGAAAGAAAAGTTACCCTACCAATATGTCACAGCAATTTTAACTTTTAATTACTTACAAAATCACTTGTTAAACCTACTGAAATTCTCACTCTTACAATAAGGGTATATTGGTAAAAGTGTATATATATATATAACTCTCGACCTCTCGCTCCCTTCCTTCCAACAAACAAAAAAAGTGTTAAGATGACACCTTCTCTTCCCTATAATGCCTCATCCCTCTCTCCCCTTCTTTATTCCATCAATTTTTTCATCCCTTCAACCACACGGAGCATAAGTGTTAATATGATTTATGTGAATGACGGCTGATTTTGTTATTAATATAACTTTTAAAAAAATGTAACAATTGAAAATTTAACAAAACAATAACAATGATTTAAAAAAAAAAATAAAAAAAAAAAACAAGCAAATTAATAAAATAAAAATTTAGATTCTTAAATCATCGATTTTTGTTGATAACTTCAAATGAAATTTTTGTTCTTGATTTTGTAAAAATTAATTTCTTATAGAATTCTTATAAAAGCATTTCAATAAAAATGAATAAAAAATAAAAATAAAAATAAAATAAAATAAAGTGATGGACAGAATCTTGTATGAGATAGAATTTTAAAATAATAAAGTTATGAAAAGAATCGTGCTTGTAGTCACATTATGGAAAGAACGATGTTTAGTTTAACCCATTTTTTCATTTTTGTACCAAATTAACTATGCATGATTTTTGTCATAGTTGAAAAGACCAGAAATCATGTTGACATTCCCATGCCAAAAACTTCTTTAAATGGCATTGTGGGAACTTGCCTTTTTCTATTTAGCTCCTAAGTCGATTTCTAAAATTCAATTCACAAGAGCATAAGTGAAATTTTGATACTCTATTGCCCAAGCGAGCATAGATTGTCATTAACCTTTTTTGAGTATGTTTAGTTTAAACGAAAGGGACTATGTCCCAAACAATGTAAACAATAAGGCCGTAATTTTACCGTAATTCCTGATAATCCAACCTTAAATACTTCGTTATCTATTCCATCAACCAATTATATCATGTCACATAAGTAAACATATTTTATTTTAATAAATCCTAGTATTTAATAAATTGATAATACCATGTTATCACTACAACTGGTGCAATTAAATTTTCTCTCTACATATGTAACACAAACTACTATAGTATCTACTATGCATTTAGGGCTGTGTTAGGGCTCCACGTTGGTTTAATGGGGTAGTAAAGCTAGGGATCCGTGTAAAGTGTGTAAACAAAGAAAATTTATATACCTACCTATATTTTCATATACAACTTCTGCAATAATTGTCTGTACACACTTAGAATAATCATTATTTACATGTACAGAGGTCAGTCCTCTCAAAAAATTTACATGTAATAGAATAATCATTATTTACATGCATAGAGGTCAGCCCTCTCAAAAAATTTACATGTTGATTCCTTCCTCCCTCCAGTGTTTTCTCAACAAGTATCGTCTTCCCTGAACCTATAACTTGAAACAATCAAAATGTATCAATTCATTAACGAGTCAAAAGAAACTGTTGTATACATTCAAGTTCGAAACTATCCCGACTCTTGTAGATAGGTATAAAAGAGCCCATGTTAACAATAGTATATCACACAATATTGAAAATTTTCAACTGCATCTGTCCATACAATTTAGAAAATTTTCAACTGCATTTGTCTGTATTGCAGTTGTATCTAATATGATACTGATTAATTTAAACAATGCCCTGCTATTTGAGTAAACAACTTTCTATGTTTTACAAACAGTCACACGAGTTCCATAGATTTGTGTCATTGTTTGGTTGAGTAGGAAAAAGATTTTGAATTTAGTGTGGAGTGGCTTGATCATTATACCCATCCAAATGCTCAATGGCAAAGTCGTCGAAAGTTCCGCTCACTTTTGGGTGAGCGCCCAATAGTCGGAATAGATATTGGGTACGCCAGTGGAACGTGCACTGGCTCATCCGAGCCGTACGTGTGGCTCAGATGAGCTGTGCCGGGCGCACCCAATACCTTCTCCAATAGTAGGCTGAAGGCAAACTCCTCCATCCTCCCTAACACCGGCTGGCTATATTTCAAAATTGGACTATAAATACTCCTTGTAATGAACATTTACGCGCGCGCGAGAGAGAGAGAGAGAGAGACTTCTACCATGGTCCAAACATTTCATCATCATTTGTGGGTAGAAGCTACCTTTGAGCTTAAACCTTGAATATTATTCATTGGCAGCACCCACTATTGAGCTTTAAACCATTGATTATCATTCATAGCGGTTAAAAATTCTAGAGCCGAGCCTTATCAATGGTATACTTCATGTATTAACTCTAGGTATGTGAGCTTAAATGTGTATATCTGTCTCTCAAGGGATATCATTGTAACACTTGAAACTTCACTCTTATCCTTTGAGACAAGAAATATGGGATGGAGGGAGTACTATTTACTACATGTATGTTTGAGGTATGAGGTTTTGCTTAGTTAATGTTTGATGTCTCTTGTTATTTTAGTTAATCTTTGATGTATGTTAGTTTAATTTATGTGCGACTGTTTAGTTAATGGTGGTTGTACATTAATTAGATTACAATATGTTTGTTACATGTGCGTTGTATAAATGAATGTAAGATAGATTTACCACATGACATGTTTAGATGCATAATTATAACTGGAGAATATAAAACTTTATTTCCAAAATGGTATCAATGTGTCAGCTAGAAAATTTTGTGGTAAGAGAAGGAATACTGCCCTCCAACTTAACACAGGCTACCGCTCCATGCATCAGCACATCCAATGTAACATACAAGCAAATATTAATGATTTTGGTCCTAACAATACAACAGGTTTCTTCTTCCATCCACATATTCTTTATATATACCCAGGATAAGGATACTTATGAATATATATACATATATATATAATCTGAGAAGGATGAGATTCAAGCAGAGAATGTTAAAGAACCCTGGATAATTGTTAAATAATTGTTGAAGGATTTAAATATTTAAGTTACACCCTCTCTAACAACTTTAGCTTTTAGAGTAGATAGTTGTTAACATAGTATCAAAGTAGGGTAGGTCCTGTTTTCAAATCTCACCCTCACCTTAATTTAAAATTGAAACATGTGTTGGACCAAAAGAAGGCCACATGTGGGGGCGTGTTGAAGGTTTTAAATATTTAACAGCTTAAGCTTTCATTAAATTAATGGTGATTAAACTGTTAAATAATCAAGTGTCAAGGTTAAGAGGGTTAACCTATTATGAGGAAATGGGGGGTGCACTTGGTGTGTCTTCAAGAAACAAAGATTGATTCTTTGTCTGATCGGGTGGTGAAAAGTCTGTGGGGCAACCGCTTTGTTGAATGGGAGGCGTTGGATGCTGTTGGGACTTCAGGAGGTGTTCTTATTATGTGGGATAGGAGATGGCTGACTAAAGTTGATGTTTGCAGAGGGAGATTTTCTTTACCTTGTGCTTTTGTGATGGAGGAGGATGGCTTCACTTGGGGTTTTTCTGGGGTGTATGGGCTGGTTGATGATGTTGTGAGGGATGGTTTGTGGGAGGAGTTGAATGGGGTGAAGGGGAGGTGGTCTCTTCCTTGGTGTATGCCAGGAGACTTTAATGTGGTTAGATCCCCGGCGGAGAGGTCTACAGTTGGCCCGTGGACTCAGGCTATGATGCACTTTTCTGATTTTATTGATGGCCACCGGCTTATTGATCTCCCTCTTGAGGGAGCTTCCTTTACTTGGTCCAGTGGAAGGGAAGTTCCAACTTTCTCTCGCATTGATAGATTTTTGATTTCAAGTGAATGGGAGGAGAAATTCCGGATGTTGTTCAGGCAGTTTTGGCTAGGGTGACGTCAGATCACATTCCCTTGGTTTTGGACTGTGGAGGTTTGAGATCTCGCAGTACTCCTTTCAGATTTGAGAACATGTGGCTTCGTGCGGATAACTTCCAGGAATTTGTCCATTCTTGGTGGGAGGAGAATCTGGTGGTGGGTACATCGAGCCATATTCTTGCCGGAAAGCTTCGAATCCTGAAAACAAATCTTAAAAGGTGGAATAAGGAGGTGTTTGGGAGCTTGGTGTGGAGGAAGAATAGGGTTGTGGCTGATATTGCGGAGATTGATCGATTGGAAGGGGAGGGTGCTATTACGGAATCTCAACGCAGTAGAAGAGCAGCTTGCCAGGCAGAATGTGTGGAGATTGCTCTTTTGGAGGAAATCTCGTGGCGTCAGAAATCTCGGGCATTATGGCTCAAAGAGGGGGATAGTAATACGAAGTTTTTTCACAGAACTGCTAATGGTAATAGGAGGAGTAATCATATTGGGCGGATGTGGGTGGATGGTGCAGTTTTGTCTTCGGAGGAGGAGGTGCGAAGTGCTATTGTCTCTTTCTATCAAAGACTTTATTCTGAGCCTCTTCGTTGGAGACCTCGTCTAGATGGTCTTCACTTCAATTCTATTTCTGCCTTGGAGAGAGATGGGCTGGAAAATCCTTTTTGGGAGGAGGAAGTGCTGAAGGCTTTAAAGAGTTGTAATGGTGATAAGGCTCCAGGTCCTGATGGTTTCACGATGAGATTTTTGTTGGAAAGCTGGGAGGTGGTCCGGTACGAGATTATGGGCACTTTTCATGAGTTCCATTCCACGGGGCGATTTGAGAAATCGCTTAATGCATCTTTTATTGCCCTTATTCCTAAAAAGGGTGGTGCTTCTAATATCAAGGATTTTAGACCCATTAGTCTGATCGGGTGCATTTACAAGATCATTGCAAAAGTCCTTGCCTTTAGATTGAGGGAGGTCCTGGATGGAGTTATCTCTGAGTCTCAGAATGCTTTCGTTGGGGGTAGACAGATTCTGGATTCCGCTCTTATTGCTAGCGGATGTGTGGATTCTAGACTTCGTAGTGGGACTCCTGGTGTTCTGTGCAAGATGGATATTGAGAAAGCCTATGATCATGTTTACTGGAATTTCATGTTCTATCTGTTGGAGAGGATGGGTTTTGGTGAGAGATGGAGGAAGTGGATTGTTTCTTGTGTTTCCACTGTCAGGTTTTCGGTGTTGGTAAATGGCTCTCCTTTGGGGTTCTTTGGCAATTCTCGTGGGTTGAGACAGGGGGATCCTCTCTCCCCTTTTCTTTTTATTATTGTTATGGAGGCCCTTAGCAGGCTGATGAGAAGGGCGGTGGATTTAGGTTTTCTTAGGGGTTTCAAGATTGGCCCTGAATCAGTTCAGCAGTTGGAGATCTCTCATTTACTTTTTGCGGATGACACTATTGTTTTTTGTGAGGCTGATGTATCCCAGTTGAGGTATCTGAGATGTGTTTTGGTTTATTTCCAGGCTGTTTCTGGTTTGAAAGTAAACGTGGGAAAGAGTGTGATTGTTCCTGTGGGGGAGGTTCAGGAGGTGGACACTTTGGCTGCTGTTCTAGGGTGTGGGACGCAACACTTTACCATCTCGTACTTGGGTTTGCCGCTGGGAGACTCAGCTAGGAGGGTGGGAAGTTGGAACCCGGTGATTGAACGGGTCGAGAGAAGATTAACGGGTTGGAAAAAACAATATCTGTCAAAGGGCGGTAAAGTTACGTTAGTGAAGAGCACTTTGTCAAGCCTTCCAACGTACTTTCTTTCGCTTTTTCGTATTCCAGCCTCTATTGTTGGAAGACTAGAAATGCTCCAACGTAATTTCCTTTGGGGGGGTCGCGGAGAAGAGTTCAAGTATCATCTTGTCAAATGGGAACAGGTTTGCAGGACTATTTGGTTAGGAGGGCTTGGAATTAGGAGATTGGCCCTTTTCAATTGTGCTCTTCTTGGTAAGTGGCTTTGGAGATTTGGTAAGGAAAGACATAGATTATTTAGAAGGGTTATCTCATGTCGCTTTGGGGAGGAGAGAGGAGGGTGGTCAGTTAGACCAATCAGGTCTGTTAGCGGAGTGGGGGTGTGGAGGGCCATTGGTAAGGGGTGGGATGCCTTTTCCAAACATATTAGATTCAGAGTTCGGGATGGAAGAACTGTCCGGTTTTGGGAGGATCCATGGTGTGATGATAGGCCTTTGGCCCTATTGTTTCCCAGGCTTTTTAGGATTGCTGTTGACAAACATGCTATGGTTGCTGACTACTATCGCTTTGATAGTGGAAGGTTGTCTTGGGATGTGCGTTTCCGGCGAGCTTTTCAGAATTGGGAGCTGGATGATGTCACTGGGTTTTTGGCTCTCCTTTACGAACAGGAGGTGGAGGGGTCTGGGGCAGATTCCTTGATTTGGGTGCCTTCTTCTCAGGGGATGTTCCAGGTCCGGTCCTTTTTTGTGTGCCTTTCTGGTTTTCATGGTACCTCATTCCCATGGAAGACGGTGTGGAGGTCTAAGGCGCCTCTTAAGGTGGCCTTTTTTGTGTGGACTGCAGCTTGGGGTAAGATTTTGACTTTGGACAATTTGAGGAAGCGAAGGCATATCATTGTTAATAGGTGTTGTCTTTGCAAGATTAATGGGGAGTCGGTGGATCATCTTTTGTTGCACTGTCTTGTGGCTCATGATTGTTGGAGTTTGATGTTTGGCCTGTTTGGTATTCATTGGGTCATGCCTCGGTCATCTTGGGAGTTGTTAGATATGTGGAGGGGCCAATGGGTGGGGGCTCAGGCCAGAGTTTTTTGGAGGGTGATCCCTTTTTGTATTTGGTGGAGCCTTTAGAGAGAGCGTAATGGAAGATCTTTTGAGGGAAAGGAATCCTCCATTGGGATGTTAAAATTTTCTATCATTTGTAATTTGTTTTGCTGGGGTCAGGGGAGAGACCACTCCTCTCTTGAGGATATTGTTGATTTTATGAGCTCTTTGAGTTCATAGGCTCCGTTTTGTTTTTGTATAATTTGGGACGCATTCCCCTTTTGAACGCTTTTAATACAATTTACTTATCAAAAATAAAAATAAAAATAAAATAAAGTGACCCATGCAACATCCGTGTCATATTAACTTAAAACAAACTGAACCAATTTAGGCCAATATGCCAAAGCAACAAGAATAACAGAACCCATGAGATCAAGCCCTATAACTGATGGAGATCAAAATGAAGAATAGGTATTAGAGATTATTATTATTATCTTCTCAAAACTTAGCTTTAACTTTAATTATTATTTTTTATTTATTTAGTATTTATATTTTTGTTATTCTTTAATTTTGCTTATAACTAAGCCTTTTTGTAATAGGTAGATTAGTTATTACCTAAGAAGCACAGACACGGATACAACACGACACGGATACGGCGACACGGCAAATCAAAAAAAATTAGGACTAGGACACGGACACGGAGAATAGCATATATATATATATATATGATGTAGTATTTCAAAAATTACTTGAGTGTTATTATTTTTCATCAACCTCATAATGAAAAAAAACACAAATCATGATTCATAACTAATAAACTATAAAAGAACAATGTTGCATAGTTATAAAATCAAATAAAAAACAAGACATTAAAATAATAACTAGTATCATTTAATCATCATTGCAACTTTACTCCAAATACAAAAGCATAGACAGAAAGGACTATTAACATTCATGACTGTTTAACATTCAGGACTCTACCGTTAGCACTTAATATTCACAAAGACCTAAAGGCTAGTCCCCAAAAAAGATACAAAAACAAGTCAGTGTACTATCATCTATTCCCATACATCATTTGACCTAGGACTTTTACCATTTACAATACCAAAAGGGTAGTACAAAACAAAAAATAGAACATATCAGCATTAAAAATAAATAAATAAATAAAATTAAAAAAAAGTGTGTCCGAGCCATGTCCGAGCTATCTGAGCTGTATCCGTGCCGTGTCCGAAAATTAAAAAAATTCCAGACACGTTTTTTGGTATGTCCGACACGTGTCGGGGCGTGTCCGACGCATGTCCATGTCCAACATGTGTCGAACACGGATTCTTCACCCATTTTGGAGTGTCCGTGCTTCCTAGGTTATTACCAAACTGAATGTACTAAAAACGAAACTTCTTGTTGAATTTCTTTCATCTTTTCTTTCTTTCTTTCCCTCTCCCCCAATATTCTTCTTCTCTTCTTTTCCCTCTCTCTACTTCTCTCTTCTGATCCTAATTCAATAACTTTTTCGGGCCATAATATACCACAACCCTTCAATAGTCAGCTGCTCTTACTCTAGGTAGCTTCATTAAAGAAGCAAGTAGACCTTAAAACCATTTTTATGGCTCTTACTCTACTTTCGTTGGCCCATTTTAAAGTAACCATTTTTATCACCTTCTTTTGCATTGCCCCGTGGCTCATGATTGTTGGTGCCTTACTTTTGGCTTGTTTGGCATCCATTGGATTATGTCTCGGTCTGCGAGGGAGTAGATTGATGAGTGGAGGGGATGCAACGTTGGGGCCCATGCCCGTAATTTTTGGAGGGTAACCCCTCTCTGTGTTTGGTGGTGCGTTTGGAAGGAGCGGAATAGAAGATCTTTTGAAGGGGAGGAATCTTCCATTGGGGCCTTGAAATATGTTATTATTAGTTCTCTTTTTAGTTGGGTGATAAGGAGAAATTGTATATCTATAGAGGGAATTGTTGATTTTTTGGGTTCTTAGGGTCCTTAGGACCTCTTCCTTAGCTTCAGCCCTTGAATAGCTCTTGGGATGTGTTGATTGTGTTCCCCTTTCGAACGCTCTCTAATATATCTTTACTTATCAAAAATAATAATAACAATAACTCCCACTCTAAGTAGCTTCATTTTTGCATAGGTATCCCTTTCCCTCCTTGGGAGTTCAAAGCTATTTTTAAGTAACCACCAATAATAAATCTCACTCTAACTAGCTTCACTTTTACATGGGTAGCCCTTTCCCTCCTTAGGAGTTCAAAGCTGAAACATCTCTCTCCCTCCCTCCCTCCCTCCCTCCCCGTAGCCCTCACCATGGCTCAAATCCGAAATGCAGTATCTTCTATCATATCAAATGTCATGAACCTGACCAATACAGCAAAAGCTCTAGGACTGATGAAAATTGTTTGTAACCTTCAGAACTGTACATACAATGATTCCATGGCTGTCCTCAGCGCTCACACTCTATGCAGTTTTCACTTTGGGGTAGCACTTTTTCCACTTTGGAAGGCTAGAGCATTTTAATAAACTTAACATAAATAGAGGAACATCTTACTAATACACAACATGCAACAAAAAAAAAAAAAAAAAAAAAAAAAAAAAACATTTTGTTATTTCTAAGTAAAACAGAATTAAATTGTACCATGTATATATATAAACAAATTATGTGGGTTTTTAAGAGGTCTCTCTAATTCGGTTGATAGGTGGGCATGTCAACTCAACACGACCAAACAAACAGTATATTGAATGGTTATACAATCATGTCATCATGTTACCCTTGTCAATGAACATGCATATTAGGGTTGTATTGACATCAAAACATGACATGACATGATTGCAACCCCATAATGGATGCAGGTCCAAGTATTACGTTTTAACACAGATAAAGCATAGACAACAGCTACTAGCCAAAGTCCAGATGGACACGAATCAGTGCTGGACCCACAAATTTTGTACTGAGATGTGTCAGATTGTCCATTGGTGAAAAGGAAAGACTGTCCTAAATATTGTGGCATCAAGTTTATATGAACAAAATGACCCAGAAGCGTTAAAAATATGAACCAAGAATAACTTGCATAAGCATGAAAGGTCACTTACAACAAAATTAGTAGCCAGCAGAAGCACCAGATCATTTCTTTGTTGCATCAATAAACATCGCTCGAGTCCAATGCTCAACGTCCTCGGTTTCTGATGGAGGAGGAGGAAAAGTGGGATGCTCCACTAGGTCCCATCCTTCCATAAGGTTTTCGTTCTTTCCAGTATCGGACAACTCAGTGCCATACAGAAAACTGACAGCAGAACTTGGAAGGTTGTTGATACTTCGCTGCACGGCAAAACAAGAATTGAGAATCTCAAAAATAGCATGATAGTAAAGAAATCCCGTTCACATATTTTCCAAGCATCATTTTCTGATAAATTGTCTGAATGTCAATTTTTTAGTTGGATATTACATCAATACAGAGTGCATTCTTGCCTCAAATAAATCCAAATGTCAAAAGAGATATGTTGACCATGCACGACTGAGTAACAAAACTATGCCACTACTTTTCCATCAAATGATTCCATTTATTGTTCATCATCTTTTTTAATATCTATTTTTCTTTCTGATGAATCCTTTCTGACAAAAACAACAAAAAATTCATGTAAAGGCACAATACCATATATTTGAGTTATGCATAAAAATTATCCTAATTCCTGTATACAAGTTCCTAATCCATTGTGTCATAAGTTAACAGTTCCTTCTGTATAAGTTCTATAATTATACCAAGGGTCTAGACTAGTGGATTTTCCTCCTCCACCCACGTGTCCCCTCCCATGAGAAAAACTTCATTGTGCCCGGCGAATCTAGACCGTTCGTGTAATACGTATGCCCACAAATGTATTACACACGCCGTGTATGAACGGTTGGATGCACCCATTGCACATTGCAACAGGCACAATGAAGTTTTTCTCCCCTCCCAAGTCCCACCCCCTCTGCAAATAGATAGATAAATAAACAAGTACTGAAAACCAAAATAAAATTATAATATAATAAATAAAAACAAAACAAAACAAAACCCTTTAAACATTCTTAAATGAAAGCTGAAAAAGAATTAGCATGTAAGCCACAATAGGGAATGCAAAGTACTACTCATATTTAATAAATCAATGGCACAGAATGCTGCCACTTTCAATGTACCAAAGCAGAATAAGTCCATCAGTAATATTATTCAATAATTTTCAGACACGAAGTCAAGGCTAAAACTTATACCATTATAGGTAGTGTATGTGCACTCTCCAATAAGGCGCTTGATGAAACAGCTGAATTCACATCCCATACAGATTTATTCATTTGTTGAGCTTGCTTAGACGGCCTGGAAAAAAACCAACAATGTCTTGCACAGTAAGCACGTCAGCCTATGACAATGTGTTGTCACTAAATGTTAAACATCGCCATACATGATTTAAATAAAACAGAATACTCCAACAAGCAAATCCAACTATGAACATCTACTTTTTGACATTTACCAGAAGCAGTAAAAGTGACTTGTAGCATGAACAACCTTGATATTCCTAGAACTTAACAGAACTGAACCCTCCACACCCGCCATGTGCGTGTCAAATTAAAATTTAAGGGAAAAACGAATCCATTAACAATGGAAATAAGAGGAAAATGGATCCACAATACAACCTGAAGGACGGAATCTATGAAACACTATCCTGTAAGGGACTCTGAAGATTTTTAAACAGTTTAGGGATGATATTCCTTACCCTATTGTTCCACTTCTCTTTATAAAAATCACTTGCAACAGCTATTATGGTTCCCTTATAGGCAATTGACTTGGAGATGAGATGAGCACTTTATATCCAAACAGCCCCTTTACCCACCATTTGGTATCATTTAAGGTTCATGGTTGCCACCAACTAGCCTCCAGAAATATGGCATATCTTTCAAAGATGTCAACCATCCTCACTTGCATTTCCCAATACTTGACGGATCAATTTGATCCATGAAGCCAAACCAGAATACTGGAATTATGGCTGGGTAAAATATGGAGGGGAACAGCTTGAGGCACGAGATTATCTGCTAAATGGATGGACAATGGATTGCCATTGTCAGCTTTAGCTAGCACATCTAGCAATTTTTCTTGAAGAACAGCAACAGTATTCTCTTATATTTGCCCATGTCTCTCTCATTGTCATCAGATGTGGAAAACTCCAACATTTCCACTGAGACATGTTGAATGGAAACTTGCAAATTAATTAGAACTTGTTCCACCATTGCATTCATAGCATTCTGAGTATCACTGTCCATACTACTTAAGGTGTATTGATATCCTTTCAAGAATATGTAGACGCGGCTTGTTTGAACAAGCCACAGATCATATATCACACAAGGGAGAAAAGGAATAAGTACCTTGAACAAGCCATTTTCAAGGAAAAAACAGATCGGACTTCCTTAGAAGAAGAAAGTGTGGCCAACAACTTAGCAAATGCTTCAAAAGTAGATGTGTCAGCAGGAACATCTAAACATAACAAGTTATAGCAATAGGCTGTCACGCAAGCCACACTTTTCTTGAGAAGTGAAATCCCTTTCTGCAGATCCTTGTGTGTTTCAACAGAATGTGGCGAAGCAGAAGAATAATTGAAGCTGTTACAGCCAGAAGAATCCAACCGCGGCTTTCTCTCAGATTCCATTGAAGCAACGCCAAAATTACTTGAGCTTCTATCAGACCATGAAGTTTCCCCACCAGTGGAGCAATAATTTTGTCGTGGTATAAATAGAGGATATTCGTTGCTGCATGGAATAAATTTGTATCAATCTAACAATTGATATATCAATGTTAAAAACTTTCCACTTTAAATACCTTCTAGAAGACGGACAGGCATCCCAATAAGAATCTCGTTGCCATATTCGGGAGCACGAACCCTGAAGCAAAATTTTGGGATGAATGTAATAAAGAAAATGACTCGAAGACATTAAAGGATTTCTCTAATAAAAAATGAAAACACTAGAAGTTGGTCCCTAATTAAGGATATTGATGTAACTTTCACAAGAGACGAGACATTCAAAAATGAGCATTTAAAAGATTTTCAAATATAACTATTTCTCAATCTAGGATTCAAAAGGGAAAGAAATAATTCAAAGAAGACACAGGTACACATCTAGATGTGTACAACATATTAAAATAAAATCATATGCAATTTAAGGCAAGAACAGAAATCTGAACTGGAGAAAAAAGGTCAGATAAGAAAGCAAATATGCTAATTGACATGTATATGTCATGCTTGCCAGAACAAAATTTATCCAGAAAACCTATTTAAAGATTGAAGAAAATTTTGTACATATATATATAAATATATATACATTATGTACAAAAACTATATATTTTTGGCTAATCCCAAATGTTACAAATTTTTTAAATATCGAAGTTATATAATTTGACCAAAAGTGACAATATATTCAAAATTATGCTTGTTTACTATGTTTCGACAAAACTATACGCAATTTTTATTATAAGTTGTAACCTATATCTTTGATCAAGAGTTTTATAACAGTGAAATTCTCCAACAAAGATGTGCATTAACTCAATACACTTTCAACTCCCTGGAAGGAATTTGGAAAATTTTGACAAAAACTCAGCATATTCACTAAAATCAAGATGAACCAGAATTTCTTCTACAAAATACATGGAGGTTGCATCAGAACTTACAGCAAAACCTGAGTTATGAAGCGCAGGGGCAGCAACATTGTGAACAACAAGATTTAGAAGTTGCACCATGTATCTGTTTGCAGCCATTGGTGAAAACCAATCAGTGTAAAATACATGGAAATAAAATTTCCACATGGAACAATACAAGTATGGCAAATAACTGTATTCAGGGATCAATTATTTTGTATAACAAGTTATAAGGATGGCGTGTAATACTGGCCACAGAACTCTGAAATGCATCATAAGGAATTGTTATATGCAGGACATGATGAAATATCTACTACAATGGAGCTTCTTTGTAAGAGCATTTGTTCAAAATAGTCAACTAAACGAGTTCGTCTTCAATAATTCAGAAAAGATCACGATTGAAAGTCAACATGAACGTCAATTCCTGGCCACCATGACATCAATCGAAGGGTATACATATCTCAAATATTTCATAAACATTAAATTTTAATACAATTATATAAATATATTATGTAAAACATTAACTGTTAATTAAATTAATACTAAATGTCAATACAATTAACAGCTCATGAACAAAAACATAAGCTGACCTTATCTATGTTACCCGGACTCACCACTTTGTTCTAGAGTACCCATGTCAACACGATACAGACACAGACACGAATGCAGCACATGATTTTGACTCGGCGCTCATCTAGACAGGTGAAGAAGAAGAAGAAAAATGGAAAAATAGGTAAAAACATATCTTGAATGCTTTATCAAATGTCTCCCACTCGAAATCATCTCTATCAGAGTCGAAAAAGACGCCAAAATGACCTATCAGAGGTTCTCTTTGCCAATTAAGATGCTCGGGTTTCAGCTTGAATGAGTGGCAGCAAGAATGAAAACTGAAAGCCCTACTTTGTTTTTGTATAATATTAAAAGTTACAATTGTAGTTCTAGCCAAAAACTTCATATAACAACAAAATTATCGAAAAAAATATGTTTACAATTGCCCAATATTTTATTGCTCCATGCCCCATTATGAACCATCCTGCCTTGATTTTATGATTAACATCATATATTATGTTGTGTGATAGGCGTAACCCTTTACGATCGAAAAAGGAGTTCTATAGAACAAATATTAGACCAGCCATACTTTATGATACCAAATGTTGGGCAGCTAGGAAAAAACAATTGCATAAAATGAGTGTGGCAGAAATGCAAGTGTTGAGATGGATGTGCGGTAAGACTTAAAGAATAGAATTGGAAATGATCATATTCGGGAGATCGTTAGAGCAGCACATTTCTTTTTTCTCTGATAAGTAAAAATTCATTAAAGGCACTCAAAAGGGGAGCGATCCCAAAAGAAAACACGAGCCGCGAGCCGCGACACTACAACTTTAAGCTATCCAAAAAATTCAAAAGACTATCCGTAGATATACAATTCCGTCCATTTACCCAAAAAACAAAGAATTCAGTATATTATATTTGAGAGTCCAAATAGGAGACTTCTCCCCTACAAAGGATCTCCTATTTCTCTCACTCCACAGCCCCCACCATAAACATAGAGGAGTGGCCCTCCAAGCATCATGCACTCGGCTCTCCACTATACACCCTTTCCAAGCCTCAAGCAGGTCGACCGTCGACTCAAGAAACACCCAAGCCAATCCAAAAGCAACCGAGAACATATCCCAAATATCTCTCGCGACCGGACAATGAAGCAAAAGATGGTTCACAAACTCCCCCGCCTTCTTACACATGCAACACCAACCCACCACGACCTGGTGTCTCCTTCTGAGGTTATCACAAGTGAGAATGCTTCCAAGGGCAGTGGTCCATGCAAAGAAAGCAACCTTCAAAGGGGCTTTCATCCTCCAAACAACTCTCCAAGGAAACTCATAACTTGAATGGTGCGTGTATTATGGGACTGATACATGTGCTCGAAGAAGATATATATATATATATATATATCATATAAACTTTCTCGAGGTTTTATAATCTTACTTAACTCTTCTGTAATCGCACTTACCTCTCATGTTAAGGACCATAGGATCAATTTTGCCATTCCAATGCTTGAAATGAAAGCAAACATTTTATAGATAAAAATTATAAATAACACATTATAGGGGAGGTAAGCGAGATTATGAAATATGGCGGGGTTTATATAAAATATTAATAAGGTCCCGTTTGGCATGCATTTTGTTTCTACTATTTTTGTTTTTGTGGAAAAGCCGTGGTTGTAGAACAATTGCTCAACATCCACATGTTATGCCTCCTTCGTAGCAATCGTGCCTGGTGTGGCTACATGTTTGCGTAGAGCCCAATCAGCCCATGCCTCCTCAAATGGTACCAATATCCTAATCAACATATCCACGTAGGGGAGCCAACTCCACCTAGAGTTGATCAGGAAGAGCTCGAATCTCTCACCAAAATTCACCCCCGCATCCATGGACTTTCTCTCCGGTCCCCGTGATGCTCGTTGATCTTCCCTACTACAATCTAGCTCCTTAACATGAATCACTCTATAGTTGGCCATAGTTTCCTTCACAAATTTTATTCTAACACCCAACAATGCAAACTATGATACCAAATATCACGGCCTTATTGTAGTACAAGTGTTCATTCAACACTTGTACACTTTCAAGCATCCTTGAAGTGCTAAATCAGCCTACCTACCTAGCTTTGCTAGCAAAAAAGCTAAAGAAGGAAAGAGAAGACAAGTATGCAAGAGAAAGTTTGGTGAATGTAGGTAACTTTGTACCACTCAAGAGAGGGCTTACAACACTTAGGGCTCGTTTGGCATAACTTTTACTTCAGCGTTTACGTAAAAGAAAAAGTGAAGCAGAAGTTATCACTTCCATATGGCTTATGTGTTAGTGTTTGGGAACCGTATTTTAGAAGAGCTTTCAATGTCATAAGAGTTTTTCTGTCTGTTTGGTAAAATATTTGTTGAAGCATTTCTATTATTGAAATAACTATTTTGCCCTTAGATAGAGTATATATATATATATATATATATATATATATATATATATATATATATATATATTTTTTTTTTTTTTTTTTTTTTTTTTTTTTTTTTTTTGAACTGTTTGGTAACATAAAGTAAACCAAAAGCTTCAAAGTTGTGATATTACATTTTTATTTTATTTTATCATTATATCAATTCATAAAATTTTAAATGTGTGTGCAAGTGTAGAAGCATTTCTTCTCCAACATTTCACATAAACAAAGGCCTCAAACATTTTATACATAATTTATTAGACCAATGCCAGTAAAAATTAATAAAATGTAATATACTCTAAGAACTTTTCATGTACCACCAACTCACAAGTAAAATTGTACAGTAGCAAGATATACCATTTATAAAGTTATTAAAGTAGCACAATAAGTCATTGTTGAATAACAATCTTCCAATTTGGTATGCTCTATTAACAAGGTATTCTTCTTTATATTCCAAAAATTATATGATGGTAGTTTAGTATGTCATTAGTACATGGAAGGTTTGCTATCAAGTTTCCATTATTAATGACCAAAAACCTGCAATCCATACTAAATTTTCATCGTTCACTATTCCATATTGGAGAGTCAACATAACATGCAACCTCCCATCTTAATTCATGGAATTTCACATAATTTGGAAGAATAGGATGACGACAGGGAAGATACTAACAGGTGAAGGAAAAAAAAAAAAAAAAAACCACCCCATTATAGTATTGGTAGTTCACTAAATTAATACTTCATCATAAAGAAAATTTGGCATTTGAAAAACCAACAATAACAAGCACAACATCTAAACTAGGTAGAATTAAATTATTGGAGAAAAAAATGGAAGAATAAGAAATTGAAACCACAATGAATGCCCTATCTGAAATGGGTATCATCTGAAAACTGGTGAATGAAAAATGGAAATTTGAAACCCATGAAAGATGAATAATTCGTGATTTGGGTATCAACTGAACAAGGAAACTCGGCTCAAATTACATCAATTTGTAGTAAAAACTGTCTCTAATCTGATAGACTATACTCGACGCGATACAGGGAAAAAAAAAAAAAAAAAAAAAAAAAAAAAAAAAAAAAAAAAAAAACTGATAGCCTTTGCTACTGGGATAATGGAAGTTAATAACCATCCGTTCCCTTTTCTCTCCACACTGATTGCTTTGCCTTCAGATTTATAGCACCAACAAAGAATAACAAAAAATTTAGACCATTAAATGGCTATATTTACTTCTAGGACAGATCATTAGGTAAAATATCACAACCGATAATATTGTACTTGTTCATATCCAATTTTGAAGAACAAACACAACCCAATAAAAAATTCACAAAAGACCCTTGAATATAAGATGGTTTTTCATTCTTGCTGGAGGCTGCCGAGTGGTCCATATCGCATGGTGTTGCTGCCGTCATCAAGAGTAAACTTAAGAAGTTGAATGTGGGCAGAAACCCTAGAAGAGAACAATCGCTAAGTGATGGGAGATTTATTTGGGATACACTCGGAATAGACAATGATTTACTAACAAAACATGGGGTATTATGGGAATTATAAAAGTTTCATTAAAACTAGAAATGGCTTCCCGTGTCCCTCAGGAAGAGAATTTAGTGAAAGCTACCCTTCACTCAAACGCTCTTCCACATGCTTGAAGCTCTTCGGCATTGTAATCTAAACACCGTAAAAAAAAATGGCTTTTGAGTTCTAGAAGCCAAAAGCGGCTTTCAAAAAGCCAATCCAAACAGGCCCTTATTGTGCAAACGAACTCCCACCCCTTTAACTAGGCTAAGGGCCTTACAATGTAATACTACGATATTTACAGGTGTCAACAAGAATTCTATATTAGATTCTAGAACACCAAAAGAATTTCTAGGTTATTTACAAGCTACAAAGAATTCTAAAGAACTCTATACCAGTATATTTTTTTTCTTAGTTGGTACACTCACACACACACGCCTCCATTGAGACTCAAATCCTTGACCTCCTTTTTGGGAAGTAGGGGTCTGGTACCATTAGGCCACTAACCTGTCGGTACTCTATACAAGTATACACAATTCTACACATGTAAAATGTTCTGGAATGGTGAAGCCATGCTAAAAAAAAACATATCATTGTGGGTGTTCATAGCGTTGTGTTTGCATAGCGTAACCTTCCATGTAGGGGTGACAATTTAAGCCCAAACCCATTAAACCGCCCAAGCCCGCCCACTAAAATTAAATCATTTGGGTACCCAAACTTGAGTGAGTGGGTCAATAATGGGTAAAAAAATGGGTACCCATTCAATTCAAGGGTCAATGGTGGGTGAAGAGTAGGTACCCATCTTAACCCGCTCAAACAAAATCCTGTGTTTTTTTCTTTCTCTTCTCTCTTTTTCTCTCTCCTCTGTTTTCTCTCCTTTTTTGTCATAAAAAAGAAAAAGAAAAATTGTAATGCTTGAAATAAAAAAATTAATTTAAAAACATTTTTTTTTTGTTATTCAACAATCATAATAGTAATAATATTACTGGAAGTGTAGGTGTTCTAATATTATTAATATTAATATTTTCTGTTTCTATCTCTCTCTATTTTTGTTTTTATCTCTCCTCCTAATCTCTCTCTTCTCCCTTTATTCTCTCTCCTCCTAATCTCTCTCTTCTCCCTTTTTTTCTCTCTCCTCCTTGTTCTTTTTTTTTTTATTTTGTGATAACTCTCTCCTCCTATTCTCTTCCCCCTGTTCCTCTCTCCTCCATTCTCTCTCCTCTTTTTTTTTTTTTTTTTTTTTTTTTTTTTGGTTGTGATAACTCTCAGGGCTAGTTTGGTGTGCGTGAATGAAATGGAATGGAATGAGAATGAAACTAGGAATGAAATGGAATGGGAATGATGATTCCTATTCTCTTGTTTGGTTACAAACATGGAATGCGTAAAAATGAAATGATGATTTCCATTCACGTTTGGTTTGACTAATGTAAAAACTAAAATGGAATAAATTTATATTGTTTTCTCCAAATAACCTTTATCATTAATAAAAAATTAACATCTAAAGAAAATTTTTCCAATCTAGGGTAAGAAAGGAGTCTGTAAGAATGAAATTGGGGCAAGAGATAGAGAGAGAAAGTAGAGAGAAGAAAGAAACTGGGCAAGTGAACAAAGGTGTTGGAGGTTGGGTTGGGTTGTGTGTTAGAGAAGATGATGATGGCGGCGGGGAAGAAGGCTGGATTATGGAGAGGAGTATAAAAGATCTCCTTCCTAAAAAAATCCTTCCCGTATTTATTTATTGGAATTGATTCACCCTTTCCATTAATTGAAAACTACCTCAAATTTACTTATCAAAAAAAAAAAAACTACCTCAACATACACAATGATTACCATACAGGGAAAAAAAATGTTCTTGATCTATTTATATTGCAAAGTATTTTTTGTACAATACGTGATGCATCGAAGAATATATATATGTATATATATATATTAAAGTTACTGGATTATGGAAAGGAGTATAACAGATCAGTGATAAAGCAACATATGCATCGAGGAATATATATATATACAAGAAACTTTAAAAGATTTGATATGAAAGGGTGGATTGGAAGAGAACAAATACGTGATGGAAGAGAACAAATACGTGATGGAAGAGATGATGAACGGTTTTTTTTGTCATAATTTTTTTAAATCTATTCCATGTGGGAATGGAATGCTCATTCCATTGTTAAAGAGAGGGTATGAAATAGTGGGAATGGTCATTCCTGAGAATGCCTCTAGATTCTCTTTCCAACTTTAATTTAACCTTCCAAACACGGGAATGGAATAAAAACCATTCCCATTCCCTCTTAATTGATTCCATTCCGTCACACCAAACTAACCCTCAAAGTAAGTTGTATAATGACTTTTTCCCAAAAAAAGTAAATAATAAAAAAATAAAAGGAAAAAAATTATAACGAGTGAGATCAAAAAATTAATAAATTAATATAAAAATATTTTTTATAATTTTTTTTTGGTATTCAACAATTAAAATAATTAGACAATTTGTATCTAAAAATATTTGGGTAATTGGGTTGGGTGTGTATTAACTAGCCCATTTAATACCCAACCCTTTTATCACCCATTATAAATGGGTTGATAATGGGTTATTGACCCACTATTGACTCGCCCATTCATGATCAGCCCAAAACCTGCCCAAACCCACTCAATTGCCACCCCAACTGCCGTGGTAGAGCATAACAATAAGCTAGATTTTTAATTAAATTTATAACATAGGAAAACTTAAAGAGAGCACCCATATATATATATATATATATATAACACTTAGTGAGCAAAGAAAAATACCCCAAAGAGGCAGCAAGCTCAACAGAAGGAATTGAATGGGGATCAAGTCCTCTTGGCAAGCGTGCATTGCAAATTTGATCATATTGGCCACTAGACCCATCTTTTCTCTCCCCATCTATAATCACCTGCAACATTGAATTAATATAGCCGACTCAAGAAACAGCTAGAACATCACTTATTAAATAAACTAAACGAAGACGTAGAGACCGTAGAGTTACATACACACTCACCACAACACCAATGAAGGCCCATGAAAATATTTGGAACATCCAAATAAAATTGTTTCAACTTTTGCATAAAATTTAATCAGAACAATATTAATTTGAGACATAGAAGTCAAGATGAATCTAGTATAAGGCCAAACTGGGTAAATATGGTCAAAACTGAGAAAAAATAACAACTAATAACATTTGAATACTAGTAGAAGCGTCAATCTCTAAGATAGTCACCCGACGTTGTGGGAACAACTTGCATATCTGTTTTATAACCACTGACTGTTGATGAAGACGTTCGGAGGTAATTGCCATCTGCAGTTCAGAAATATCAATAACCATTAACCACAGATGATCATCAAAGACAGGATAACCAGATGACAAATATATACATATATCTATTAATCAGTTGACTGTATAGCAAATTTGTCACGGTAAGTCTCTATCATAGGATAGTTCAAAGAACAAGTATCAAGCATTAGAAGAAGAAGTATCTAGATAATAAAATAAAATAAAATAAAAAATAAAAAGAATCTATTATAAGACCAAGACTCACATGCCCCAAGCTCTGAGTGCAGATAAGATTAGGATAGAACTTTTCTAGTTGTTCCATACGATTTCTTTCCAACTGCAATGAAAAGTCCAACACATAGATCTTAATATATGCTAGAAGAAATATCATTCATATCAAGAATTGTAATATAGTAATTATAATTTTATTAACATTACAAAAAAAATTGAGATAAAGGAAGGCAATCTGTTACCGTACTCATGGCTGATTCGAGCAACTCATATTTAACTTTTGAATCCAAGGACATCTTTTCAACCTTGGACTTCCCTATAAAAGAGCAATAATTATTGACTCATAATATTGACACTACCGAACCTAAATTGTACAAGAATTTAATTTTGGACATGACTTTTATTAAGGGGCATCCAACCTCGTGCTAGTTCTTCTTTACTAAGACGAAGCTTTTCCCTCAATCTTGCAAGCTTTTCATTTTGAAGCACTCTCCAACTGAGTTGATCATCTACCTTACCCTGATAAATGTAACAAAAGGAACTCATTAAAGTAAGAAAAACGTGTCATGAGACAAAGAAGAATGAAAAGAAAGTCCTACACCATTATTTGTAACTGTATATTAAGACACCCAACTTTGAAACAAATGAAAGTATACAAAGAATGTCATAAGAGGAAATTGAGTTAACAAAGACAAAGAGGAAAAAAAACAAAGATTATGCATATAAAAGGAAAGGAAAAAAATAACATGAAAGCATTAGAGATGCACAACGACTAATATTAAAACATTCCATTTAGTTTTTCTAACTGCATTTTGAGATTATCAGAAACCATTTATAAGAATCCATTTGTTTTTCTAACAGGCAAAGTAAAATTAGATCATTCTGAAATCTTAACAAAACATGTAGCATTATGAGTAGTGTCATTTACTTTATATGCTCAACAGCTAAGAAAAGTCGTCTTAAGTTGGCATAGACATGAAGGAAAAAGTAAAAGATGAAATGGAGCACAAGTCTCCTCTTCTCAAGAAATTTTCTGTTATTTTCTCTTTTGCCTCATCTTGATGTCTTCCTTCTGCCTCAGAATCCCATATGAGAGCTGTTATAGGACATACCTCATTTCTGGAGATTGTGAAGCTACCCAGTCTAGCCATGATTGGGGAAGTTGAAATCAAACATTCTTCCAGTGGTCATGTCTTCAACGTGGATGACCACACCACGACGATTCGCGAGGCGATGTTGAGATCTTGCTTGGTTGGGAGATTTGATAGAGATGTGGGCAGTTTGGATAGTATCGAAGATTGAGCTGCGAAAACCTGGAAGATTTCGTGTGGAGTGAGGGTTTCCACCTTACCTGATGGGCTTTTACTGTTCAGATTGCCGTCAGAGATCGAAGCTTAGAGGGTGCTGAAATCAGGTAGGAAAAAGTGGGGTCAAACTCAGTTGTTCATCGATATCTGGTACTATCACGTTGGATGCTCGGGCCTGATGAAGAAAAGCATAAGGAAGATCGTTCTGTTTATGCGGTGGATTTCACGATGTGGAGGCATATGAAATGTGCGAAACAGCAAGGATTGTCCTCATCGTCCAAAAAGGTGGAAAAATTCCGGCGTCCATCACAGTGGAAGACAAACGGGTGGCTTTCAAGATTGCGGTGTCAAAAAGAATTGATCCTTCTGTTCAGCCTAAGTTTGATTAGGTAGTTGTTGATAAGAATCAGGTCTGGGCGCAGGAGAGAATAAGACCTAAAGAGCTTTACTTTGGTGCTAGATTGGAAGTGCAGATTTCTGTGGTGTCGAAAGGTCAGGGACGACCTCATGTGCATTCACAAAAGGGGCGTGAAGAAAGCCAGTGTCCTTGCAAGACACGCATTAATCAAAGAGAACCCTCCCGTTATGGGTGGGATACAGCTAAGTGGGCACGTGGTAGATCACGTGGCAGGGCTTCAGAGTTTAAAAATGTGGGTGTTGGGCCTGTTCTGAGTTGGGCCTGTTTTTAACAAGCCAAATGTTCCATCTAGGCCTGTTTCAAGCGGATCATTTATTTATTCTAGTTGTCAGTTGTCACACTGGACCAGCTGATGGCCCATCCTCTTCAAGCAGTTGGGTTGATTGTGATAGGCCTAGGTCTGTTGAGCCTGCACAGGCCAAGTCTGGTTCCAGTCTCATTAAACATAAAAGGGATAGGGTGGTGGTTTGGGGCCCAAACAAAGGCTTATCTGTGTCTATTAAAGGAAGGCAGCCCAGCCCAACTCTTTCAAAGGTAATCAGAAATATGGCTCATGCCCAAATTTACAATGGTTCCTCATTATAGCAGAAATCTGATGAGAGACACTGTTCTCGTTCAGAGAAGGAGCATTGGCCAAGTTCAGCACTCCCATGAATGGAGCTGGGGCGATGATGAAGATGTTCCGACTCGGTGAATGCTGTCAGAAATTGCTCTCTGGTAACAGGTTCGGGCCGCTTCAGTCGGGTTCTTTGTGTGATGTTTCGGATGATGGATGCCCACCCATAAGGGATGATCATCAGTTTTCTTTGACCAAGCTGCAGCATAATGGTAAACGATGGACTAGAAAGGACAAGCAGAAGTGGGTCGCTCGCGAGGACTACGACTTCAAACCTGGTATGTTCTCGGCTTCCCTTTCTCGGAGCTCTCTGTCTGCTCTTTCTTTTTCTTATACTCCTCCTTGTGGGGTGTTGAGGAGCGACGTGGGGGAGGATTTTGATGGGATGTCGGTGATGTCTCGGATGTTATCGCCTGTGGTGGAGGTGGATTCTGAGGTTGAGGTGGTGGATACAGAGCAATCCGGGCATAGGATTTTTGGGCGATCAGAAATGGATGGGATAGTCGAGAAGGTTGATGATTTTTGCATTGATCGGAACTGCTTAGGGGAGGATGGGTTCTGTTCTGAGTTTTCTTCCTCTATTCAGCCTGTTAGGGGATGATTTGGGTAGGCAGTCTGGGCCTCGGCTGTGCAGTGACGAAGGAATCAGTTTGTGTAGGCCTAAAAATGACATTTTGCTGAGACCACAGAAGGATGCTTTGTCTGAGAAGATGACAATTTTGTGTTGGAAAGGACATTCGTATTACTCTCCGTGACGAGTCAGCTGTTCTTCTGGTTCAAGAATTAAAGAATCACAGGCTTTTTCCCGATGATGTGATTACTATTGCTCCGGATACTCATTTTGATGGGAAGGAAGGTGGGGTGGACAGTGTCATTGACTGGTTGTCTTGTTTTGATGTGGAAGAGGAGGTGGAGGGTGGTGTAGGAGATGTGATGAGGGCTCTTGACATGATTCTGTGGGCGGAGGAGGGGCACCCAAACCTGGGGGTGGTTGATCCCCTGGAAGTTGTGAGACCAGAAGGTATGGACAGCAATAAGGGAAGGCAAGAATGTGTTGACTTAGGTAAGGAGTGGGTGAAGGAGAATATCGGAGTCAATAGTGAATTGTTGGGTGTCTCTTGTAAGGGCAACTGGGATCAGGCCTTGTCGATTCTCCATGTGATGGTGTAGGGGAGAGAAGGGGAGACGTTAAAGAAATCTCTAAGTGGGGGTAGAAGGAAGAAGAATCCCCCCTCTTGGAAAGGGGAGAGGGACATGAGAAATCTTATTTCGTATGTGAACTATGAAGGGAAGGATGAGGGGGTGAGGGAAAGGGGTAGTGTGAGGGGGGGGGGGGGGGGGGGGGGGGGAGAGGTGACTTTGTTTCCACTTGAAGCTATGACTCTTATCTTGGAATGTCCGTGGACTCAATGATCCGGGCAAGAGGAAGGTGTCAAGGTGGTGAAGTTGGCAGTGAGAAGGGGGGGGGGGGGGGGGGGGGGGGGGGGGGGCGCTTTTGGTGTGCTTTCAAGAAATGAAGATTGCTTCGATGACGGATATGGTGGTTAGGAGCCTTTGGGGTAGTAGGTTTGTTGAGTGGGAGGCGCTGGACTCTTTAGGGTCCTCTGGAGGCATTCTTGTCATCTGGGATAGGAGATGGATGGCAAGGGTGAATGTTTGGAGAGGGAGATTCTCTTTATCATGTGCTTTGGTGAAGGAGGAGGATGGTTTTAAATGGTCTTTCTCCGATGCTTATGGACCAGTGGATGATTGTGAGAGTCTTGTACTATGGGACGGGCTTCGTGTGGTGAAGGGGACTCTTCCATGGTGTGTGGCCGGGGATTTCAACGTGGTTAGGTCCCCATCAAAGAGATCTACACGTGGTAGATGGACTTTGGCTATGATGCAGTTTTCGGAGTTCATTGATGGATATCATCTTATTGACCTACCATTTGAGGGCGTTGCTTTTACTTAGTCCAGTGGTAGGGATTCGCCCACTCTTTCCCGCCTGGATAGATTCTGATTTATGGGGAATGGAAGGAGAAGTTTCCGGATGGTGCTCAGGATGTTTTGGCTAGGATGACTTCTGATCACATTCCGTTGTTTTTGGATTGTGGAGGATTGAAACCTCGTTGTACTCCTTTCAGATTTGAGAATATGCGGCTTAAAGCCATAGAGCGGATAATTTTCAGGGGAAAATGTGGAGTTGGTGGGAAGAGGCCACGGTGGTGGGCACTCCTAGTTTTATCTTGGCTGGAAATCTTGGGCTTTATGGCTGAAAGAGGAGGATTGAAACCTCGTTGTACTCCTTTCAGATTTGAGAATATGCGGCTTAAAGCCATAGAGCGGATAATTTTCAGGGGAAAATGTGGAGTTGGTGGGAAGAGGCCACGGTGGTGGGCACTCCTAGTTTTATCTTGGCTGGAAATCTTGGGCTTTATGGCTGAAAGAGGGAGACCGGAATACGAAGTTCTTTCATAGACTTGTGAATGCCGATAGGAGGGGTAATCACATTGGGCAGATTCGAGTGGATGGAGCGGTTTTGAGTGAAGATGAGGAGGTGCGTAAGGGGATTGTATCTTTCTACCAGAGGCTTTATCATGAGCCTTTACGTTGGAGACCTCCGCTTGATGGTCTTCATTTTGACTCTATTTCAGCAGTGGACAGCGATGGGTGAAATTCCTTTTTCAGAGGAGGAGGTGCTGAAGTCGCTGAAGAGTTGCAATGGTGACAAAGATCCGGGTCCGGACAGTTTCACAATGAGGTTTTTATTGGAAAGTTGGAGTGTGGTGAGACATGAGGTAATGGGCACTTACCATGAGTTCCATTCTAATGGGAGGTTCAAAAAGTCGCTGAATGCATCTTTCACTGCCCTCATTGCTACGAAGGGTGGTGCGTCGGATGTTAAGGATTTTAGACCGATAGGTGTATTTATAAGCTTATCGCTAAACTCCTTGCGTTGAGATTGAGGGAAGTTCTGGATGGAGTGATTTCCAAGTCTCAAAATGCTTTTATTGGGGAGACAAATCATAGATTCCGCCCTAATTGCCAGCGAATGTGTAGATTATAGGTTGAGTAGTGGGGTTCCTAGAATTTTGTGCAACCTAGACATTGAGAAAGCATATGATCATGTTAGCTGGAATTTCTTCTTGTATCTGTTAGGGAGGATGAGATTCAGAAAGAGATGGAGATGGATCAA